TTCCATCCTTTTCTATGTTTTGGAATACTTTGAGTAGAATCGGTATCACTTCTTCTCTGAATGTTTTATAGAATTCTCCAGTGAAACCGTCTGGGCCACAGACCATGGATTTTGAAGTCAGACTTGACTTGAGTTTATGCTGTGTGTCTGAAAGCTTGCTTTTGTTTCAGGCCTGTCCCTGCCACTTACTAGCCTGCCAACCTGGGCATATCCTGTAATCTTTCTATTTAGATCCCGACTGCCAAACAGGAATACTGGGACACCTTTCTCTCAAGGTTGTTTTGCATTTGAAAGTTAATAAACGTACAAGTACTTAGCACAAAGTAGTCAACAGAAGTTCTTCAGCCATGTGAATTTTAGCCAGGCTGATAACTTTATAAAGCAGCCTTTTGAATGTATCTCTGACCCTGGTCATCAGAGTATTCAGGAGTAGGTTTGTGTGTCAGTTATTACGTTACTGTCTCTCAGCTCCACATTCACCCTGTTGTGCTCTGTGCTGCTGGGGCTGGGGCTCTGCAGACCCGATTTGGCCTGTGCTCTGGTGCTCTGTTAGGCTGTTGAGTAGGGGGTGCTAGAGGGAGAATACAGGGTAGAGGAGATAGGGACTTGCCACTTCCTGTTTGCTCTCCGCTCCTGTCTGCATTGTCAGCACTTCTAGAACCAGCCAGTAACTGAACAAGATAAGCCTCTCCTCTTCGCTGTAGCAGGTATGGTGGAGGATCTGGGAGTAGAGGGGAGGCTGGAGTTACCAGACCCTAAAGCTCAAAGGAGGGCCCCTTGGGGCTGGGACCCGCCCTCTGAGGAAGGGGCAGGGCACTGTCCACCTGGCTGAGGATGTATCAGAAAAGCTGGAGTGTGGAGGCCACTGCCATTGCTGGACGGAGAGCCTGTGCTGGAGCAGTGCTGACGAGGACCGGTCAGCACCAGGAAGCATACATCCCTGCTCGCCTCCTCTGCCTCCCAGTGTCCTCTGCAGCCGAGTCTGCCAGGCAGAAGCTAAGAGGAGGCAGCTGGCAGAGGGGAGACGGAGTTTGCAGGATTCAGTCTCAGCACCACAGGACATGGATGGGTGAATTTGGGGCCAAGGAGAAAAGGACAGCTTAATAAGTGACACACTTCATTAAATTAAACCTCGCCTAACTCTCATCTCCCTCCTTCAGGCTTCCAGCTCATCTTCCTGCCCTATGCTGACGATAAACGGAAGGTGCCCTTCACTGAGAAAGTCCTGGCAAACCCGGAGCAGATAGACAAGATGAAGGCCATTGTTCAGAAGCTACGCTTCAAGTACAGGTGAGTGCTGGGGCTATGGAGGCTTTCTTCTGAAACTGCCTCCTGACCGGAAAGTATGATTAGAATGTCATGTTAGGCATGGACCACAGGATGCAGTTCTTTTCTTTTCAGTTGACTGGTCGTTTAGGGTCCTGGTGGATAGAAAGGCTGAAGCCCTTGTTGTGTTGAAGACTCTGGATCATGCTCCACATTTACAGCTGATGGACCCACGGTGCTGGGCTTAGAAATCCAGATTTGTGAGTTGAGAAAGTTCAGAAAGGTAGCAGTAAAGGGACAACTCAGTCTGCCTTCTCCCTGGTTATGTCTATTGTTTGAGTGAAAGTACATCGATTCAGTGCAAGTTGTTACGGGTTTGAAAGAGTGATGCTGTGACACAAATCATTCCCCTTGGAGCCTGCAAAATGCGATCCAAAACATTATTTGTGTTTTACCCTTCACCCTGTGTCTTAGGCTACTTCCTTATCTTTCTGGGCAACGTGACCCCTTCCACCCCCAAATGTAGCTGCCTGGTGTAGGCTTTTATGGGTTAAGGAAGATCTAGCTTCATGAAGAATTTACCATGTGTCAGACACTATTCTAGGTACAGTACCAACCTAATTTCATTTATTCTTCATAAGAACAGATGAGGAAACTAAAGCTTTGGGGAGTGAGGCAGCTTGCCCAGACCCACCCAGCTGGAAAGAGAGTGAGCCAGGATTCAGATCTAGGTCCGTCTGACTCTAATTCAGGCTCTTTTCACTCCCGTGCTGCCACTGGGTAGGGGAGGAAAGAGTACTCAGGCCCAGCGTCTTCCCATCCCCTGGCATCCCTCCCCCATCCTTTCTCTGCACTTTGTTGTTAGGTGCAGTCGAGTCAGTTCTGACTTGCAGTGACCCTGTGTACAACAGAATGAGACACTGCCCGGTCCTGCACTAGCCTCACAATCCTTGCTACACTTGAGCCCAGCATTGCAGCCACTATGTCAGTCTGTCTTGTTGACGGTCTTCCCCTTTTTCACTGACACTCTACTCTACCAAGCATGACATTCCTCTCCAGGGACTGGTCCCTTCTGAGAACATGACCAAAGTGGGTGAGATGAAGTCTGGCTGTTCTCGCTTCTAAGGCAAATGCTGGCTGCATTTATTCCGGGACACATTTGCTAGTTCTTCTGGCAGTCCGTGGTATTTTCGGTATTCTTTGCCAGTACTACAGTTCAAAGGCATCAGTTTTTCTGGGGTCTTCCTTATTTATTGTCCAGTTTTCACATGCATACAAGGCGATTGAAAATACCATGGCTTGAGTTAGGTGCACCGTAATCTTCCAAGTGACATCTTTGCTCTTCGGCACTTTAAAGAGGTCTTTGCAGCACATTTGCCTGATGTAATACATCGTCTGATTTCTTGACTTTTGCTTCCATCGGTGTTGATTGTGGATCCAAGTAAAATAAAATCTTTGACAACTTCAATGTTTTCTCCATTTATTGTGATGTTGCTTACTGGTCCAGTGAGGATTTTAATTTTCTTTATGTTGAGATGTAATCCATACTGAAGGCTGTGGTCTTTGATCTTCATCAATAAGTGCTTCAAGTCATCTTTACTTTCAGCAAGCCAGGTTGTGTCATCTCCATATCGCAGGTGATTAATGAGTCTTCCTCCACTCCTGATGCCACATTCTTCTTCATATAGTCCAGCTTCTTGGATTATGCTCAGCATGCAGATTGAAGAAGTATGGTGAAAGGATACAATCCTGATACACACCTTTCCTGACTTTAAAACAGTATTCCTTTCTTCTGTGTGAATGACTTCATGTTGGTCTATATATAGGTTCCGGATAAGCACAACTAAGTGTTCTGGAATTCCTATTCTTTGCAGTGTTACCTGTAATTTGTTATGATCTACACGGTTGAGCGCCTTTGCACAGTTAATATAGGAAAACATCTTTCTGGTATTCTTTGCTTTCAGCCAAGATCCGTCTGACATCAGCAGTGATATCTGTCATTCCATGTCCTCTTCTGAATCCAGCTTACAATTCTGGAAGTTTGCTGTCAGTATACTGAGGCAACCATTTTTAAAATTATCTGCCAGTTTGTCGTACCGTGGTGGCTTCGGTGTTGCTGTGAGGCTGGAGGCTATGCCAACAGTATTTTGAATCCCAGCAGGTCACCCGTGGTGGGCAGGTTTCAGCGGAGCTTCCAGACTAAGAGATTGGGAAGAAGGACAGGGCTATCTACTGCTGAGAAAACTGGCCACTGAAAACCTTACGAATAACAGTGAAACACTTGTCTGATGAATTACTCTCTGCATTTACGTGGCCTAATGCCTCCATTCCTAACACTGCCCAGAGCTTCCATTGACAGGTGGCTGGGATTGTTTTGCTTTTAAATTAACTCTTGGGTCTCTAGCATCAGTCAACTGAAAATTGGAGACGAGATTCCCAACTCTTTCATTTGGGTGTTGTTTTCATCTGACCTTGGATCTGTGTTACCTCAATTGGGTTTATTTAATTTCATTTTTAAAATGTTTTATTTATTATTATTAAGCTTTTATTGTGATTTGGGTGAAAGATTACAGAGCAAGATGATTTTCCATTCAATGGTTCACACACATTTTGCTTCATGTCATTGATTGCAGTCCCACAATGTAACTTTACTACATTATCACTATGGTATCTCTATGGAAGTAGATTGCCTAACCTTCCTTCTGAGGAGTGGCTGGTGGGTTTGAACTGCCAGCCTTCTGGTTAGCAGTCACATGCCTTAGGCACTGAGCCACCAGAGCTCCCATTTTTGTTTGTTTGTTTATGTTGTTGCTTGCTGTTGTCAGTATGTTGTTATGTGCCGTTGAGTCAGACCCCAACTCATAGCGACCCCTCCTTGGGTTTCCAAGGCAGTATCACTATGGAAGTAGATTGCCCAACCTTCCTTCTGAGGGGTGGCTGGTGGGTTTGAACCGCCAGCCTTCCGGTTAGCAGTCAAGTTGTCAGTATAGATGGTTCTAAAAAGAGCATTATCCTCCTAGAAGCCTTTTTTATTTTACTAGTTAAGCTACTACTGTTTGGTTTTAAGAAGATATCAGGGAATAGTCTTGGCTTAAGGTTTAAAGATTATCTCAGGGCAATAGTTTTCAGCAATTCATCCAGCCTTTATGGTTCCAGGAAGTCTGGAATCAATGAGAATTTGTAATTCTGCACTGTATTTTCCTTCTTTTTATCAGGATTCTTCTATAGAATCTTTGATCAGAATGTTCAGTGATGGTGGCACCATCCAGTTCTTCTGGTCTCATGACACAGGACGCAGTTGTTCATGGAGATAGTTAGCCACACATTCCAGATCTTCCTCCTATTCCTGACTCTTCTTTCCCTATTGCTCCAGGCGAGTAGAGAAGAGTTGTGCCTTGGTGGCTACTTGCAAGCTATTAAGACCCCAGGCAGTACGCAAGGAACAGAAGCACTAAACATGTTATTAGGCCAATTAACTGGTGTATCCCATGAAACCATGACCCTAAACCTCCAAACCAAAGAACCAAATCCCATGAGATGTTGGCTCTACATAAGCAGCCTCAGCAGCTGCTCTGTTTTTTAATTGTAAATATATCTACCCCACTTCTGTGCATTTAACTCTCAACAGGTTACAACTTACTGACAGCAGTGCAATAATTGGTTACACATCCCTACCTTTATCAATGTGATTCCTGCTCATTTTATCACTGAATAATACCCTGTTGTATGGATATACCACAGTTTATCCATTCACCTATTTAAGCACATCTCGGTCACATCCAGTTTTTGGCATGATGAATAGCACCACTGTGAGCAGTCATATGCAGGACTGATTGATGGGTTTTTTTAACAGGAGTGACAGCTTTGAGAACCCAGTGCTGCAGCAACACTTCAGGAACCTGGAGGCCTTAGCTTTGGACTTGATGGAGCCTGAACAAGCAGTAGATCTGACATGTAAGAAGGATTTGAGCACGGTGGGAGGAGTCCTTTTCAGGGAGGCCTTACTGGTTTCACCCAGGACCAGTAACAGGATGCATGACCTAGCACTCTCCAAAGATGCCACCTAAGCCTCAGACCATCTTCATCAGAAGACCCCCTGGGCCAGTTTAGGCTGCCTGGGAAAGGCTTGGTCTCAGGGTCTGTAGTGAGAGAGGTGGAGTGAGTGTTGGGCTTTTGAAATCTGCCTTTGAACTAAGCCATCCCCATGAGGACATGTTGGTAAAAGTTAAAAAAAAGTAATACATGACATTCACTGAGTGCTGCTCACTGTTTGCCAAGGAGATCTGGTGGCGTAGTGCTTAAAACATTCGGCTGCTAACCAAAAAGGTCAGCAGTTCAAACCCAACAGCTACTCTGCTTCCATAAAGATCGGCAGCCTTGAATAGCCTATGGGGCTGTTTTGCTCTGTCCTGAATGGTCACTATGAGTCAGAATCAACTTGACGGCAGTGGGTTTGATTTGGTTTTTGTACTGTCTGCCAGACACTGTTGTCCTATGTGTTGAATCATTGAGTCCTCGTATCTCTTACGTGGGGGCTATTATTGTCTCTCTTTTACAGAAGCACTGGACACATAGAAGGGAGTGGTTTTCCCAGGGACTAAGCTAGTAATAGGTGGATGTAGATTAGGAATCCAGTGAGTACAGCCCTTGCTCTGAACCATGATGCTAACTGTCCCTTCATCAGACCCCACACGCACAGTCCTGAGAAAGCCGCCTGGCGACCCATCATCTGAAACCCTCGCCTGGCCTCCGAGGCTGAGGTTCCCTGACCCACTCAAGCCCCTTCCCAAATGCAATTTCTTACGTATTTCACAGGGGGATGTGTGACATTTAGTGATGTAAGTAAATATCCACTGGGAAACAGATTGGATTTAATGAAGGCTCTTGACAGGTTAAAAAGATCAGTTAGTCCCGCCTTCTCAGTTGTTTCTCCTCACTCCCATTTCCAGCATTCATTCATTCCACACAGTGTCCACTCTAAAGTGGAATCAGGCGTCCTGGTGGTACAGAGGTTAAAGTGCTTGGCTGCTAGACAAAAGGTCAGTGGTTCAAATCCACTAGCCACTCTGTGGGAAAAAAAACACCAGGTAATCTGTTCCTGTAAAGATTACAGCCTAGGAAATACTATAGGGCAGTTCTCTGTTTTATAGGGTCGCTATGAGTCAGGCTCAGTGGCACAGACAACAACATGATAATTAGTAAAATCGGAAAGAACGTTGATGCAGATGTACTGTTTCTGCTGCTCCTACTTCCCTCTTACCCTCTGTCTCTTCATCCTCCACAGCCGTCGGGGCTCTTTCTGACCCACAGAGCTGAGCATCGCTGCGTTGCTCAGAGCTCTTCAGGGTTTGCCCATTAGTTACTGCCGAGGGGGTACTGAGGTGGTTAGTGGTGATGGGACAGGTCAGAAAAGGATGATGACAGTAGTCACACAACATGAAGTTGGTAACCAAGGCTAGTGAACTGTGCGTGTAAAAATTACTGAATTGGCAGATGTTTTGTTACGTATATTTTTACTACCAAAAAAAAAATAAAAAGTGTCCCCACTGCTCTGAGGATAAGGTCAAATTCCTCAGCAGGTGTTCAAGGCTTCCCTGACCTCACCCCACCTGCCTTTTTCCAGCCTCCTTGCTGGTCCTGCCCCTCCTCACAAGCAGAACCTCAAACTTCATGTCGCTTGCTGTTTCTCACTATGCCTAGCATGGTGGTTAAGGACTTAGGTGTTGGAGACAGCTTGAATCCGAAACAGATGCTGTTGTCCTGTGTGTCAGTTTGAATCCCAGCCCTCTGCTCAAAGCAGCATCTCCCCAGACAGTGCAGAAGTCCTTCTGCCTGTTCTGTGCTCCTGTGTTTAGCAGTCTCTTCTCTCACCGCCCCACTGTTGTGTTCACAGTTTTACTTGCCTAGCCTATAATCCTACTCTTGTTTGGATCCCAGGGCCTGGCCCAGAATCTCCATCCCAGCTCTGCCGCTTACTTGCTGCTTGACCTTGGACAAGTTGTTAAACCCCTTTGCTTTCCTTCCCTGTAAATCAGGGAGACTGATTTACCAGCCACTTCTTGGAAGAAAGATTGGGCAGTCTACTTCTGAAGTGATAGTGTCTCGGAAACCCAAGGAGGGGTTGCTATGAGTTGGATCTGACTAGACAGCATTAGGTTTGGTTTTGGTTTGGTAGGGTTGTTAGGAGGATTAAACAAAATAGTAAGTTTAAAGCATTTAGAACAGTTCTTGGCTGTAGAAAGTGCTCAGTAAATGTGATTTTTAAGGGTGTTTGGTGAATGTTAGAAAGCCTTTGTTGGATGTTTTCATGGCCAGACCAGCTGCCTCCTTTCGGGCCCTTCCTCCAGGCTCCCTTGACCCAGAAGTTAGGCACCCTCTCTTCTAGTTACAGTAAAGTTGGACATGGACAAGAAGCCAGAGTTCATGACTCACCAGGCCACTCTTCTGTGCTTTGGTTTTATAGTGCCCAAGGTTGAAGCAATGGATAAAAGACTGGGTTCCCTGGTGGATGAGTTTAAGGAGCTGGTGTACCCACCAGATTACAATCCTGAGGGAAAAACTACCAAGCGAAAAGCAGGTGAGGAGCTGGGCGTGGATGTTGAGTGGGTTATTTTTAAATGTTGTGTGGTGAAGTGAGTTACTTAACAGGGCTCTTCCTACTAGATGACTGGATGGGACTGCACAAATGTGAGGTGCTCAAGGCCCAACAAGGGGACTGGATAGTTAAAAATAGAAATGAGGTATATGGCACTCTTGTGGAGGAGGGACCATTTAAGTAATGTGTATGGAACCCTATGCTAGACTTAAAATGAGCAATCTCAGAGGTGGAAAAGAGGGAATCTCACTGCTATCAAGAAAGAAGAGCCATCAAGAAAGAAAGAGGGGTGGAGTGCATCCTTGGACCCAAGATCTGTCCACTGAGACAGCAGAGAGACTATGGCATCAGACCCCTGCAACAGAGACCAGCACACAGAGAGTGGTGGGCTTACCAGCCCACAGAGCAAGAAAGCTGAGTGCCTTCAGGTAGGAAGCTTGTTGGCAGAATAGGGTGCTTCTCTGGGCAGCTATTGGCAGAGCTGAAAGAACTCTGTAACACTTGCCTGAGAAGGGCGGAGGCCAAGGCCAGAGAGAAGCATGCCTGTGGCATGGCTGAGAAGAGCCTGTCCTGTTTGAAGAACTGTGTCCTGAGTCATTTCTGATCCTAATTTGTAAATTGTTACTTCGCTAATAAACTCCATAATGGTGAGTATTATCTGCAAGTTGCATGTGGCCATTGTAGCAAATTATCGAACTAGCAGAGAAGTAGGGACTGCCATGGGAGGGATAGCTGTTGTCAGGATTGGTGACAAGTTTGGAGAGAGGAGGCAGTCTGACCTCCAGCCTCCTAGGAACCAGCCTCAGGCCGTTGGTTCTGTCTCCCCCTTGTAAAATTCGAGGAAATGAGATGCTGCCGCCATGTCGTTTTGGTGAGTTGCCTTTATGGTTGTCAAAATGGTATGATGGGGGCATCTGAGCGCCGCTGACTTCATGAGGGAGAGACTCACCACCAGCATCATCAGCCCAAGGTGGATTCCTGTGAGCCAGAGGTCAGACACACCTCCTCTCTCCAACCTTTACCAATCCTGACACCAACCATCCCTCCCCCGGCTATCTCAGCTTCTCTGCTGGGTTTGATAATCCACTGCAATGGCCAGACAGAACTCGCAGACAATACTTAATGATTGTGGGGTTTACTAGGGACTAACAAGTTGGAATTCAGGATCAGAAATGACTCAGGACCCAGTTCTTCAGACAACCTCTGCTCAGCTGTGGCATGGGCTCACTTCTCTTTGGCCTTAGCCTCTCAGCCCTGTAACCCCTTGGCCTCTGCTCTGCTCGGACAAGTGTTACAAGCTCTTTTAGCTCTGCTGATGAGTTCCCAGAGAGGCACCCCACTCTACCAGTAAGCCTCCTAACTAAAGCGCGCAGCCTTCTCACTACTCCATGGGCTGGGGAGCTCACCGGGTCATCTACTCCCAGGGTACGCTGCCACCACTTCTCACCATCTCAGCAAAGTGTCACAGCTCTCTGTCTCCTGGGTCCAGGAAGTTCAGCCCAGGGACCATGGGTCCAAAGGACACATTGCACTCCTGGTTGTTTTTCCTTGATGGTAGTAAGAATCCCCCTTTCTGCCTCTGGAATGGTGAAACTGACCGATCCCCATGTTAGAGTTGCATACAAATTATTTGCAGTCTGTGCCTACAAGGATAAGGGTGCCATGTACCTTATTTACATTATCAGTAAGCTCTCCAGTCCCTTTGGTGAGCCACAAGCACCTCACATTTACATATACTCACCCAGTATGCTAGAAGAGCTATATTAAGTAATTCATTGTCTGTGAGTCCTATGTGAGCATTGCAACAAAGCATTGAACCCAGCATAGAAGTAGAGTGTTGTGGGAGGGACGGCTGGGGTCACAATTGGTGAAAAGATTGGTGAGAAGAGCTAGGTCTGACCTCTGCCTCGCAGGAATCAGCTTTGAGCGGCTGATGCCGATAATGATTCTTCTTCCCCCGTGTGAAATTTAGAGGACAGACCTCCGCCATGCCATTTTTAGATACATTTTTGGTTTTACATTTAATTGAAGCTGCCTTATCAACACACCTCTCTTCCCCATGGTGTTCTAGGCATGCACCATAGCTCTGTGGAAAACGGTTAACTGCAGCCAAGTATGGGCTCCCCATGCAGGGCAGCTGGGGGATGCCTCTGGTAGTAATACAGTCCCTCCTCCTGTACTTTTTCTCCCAGATGATGAAGGTTCTGGAAGCAAAAGGCCCAAGGTGGAGGTATCTGAAGAGGAGCTGAAGGGCCACGTCAGCAGGGGCACGCTGGGTAAGCTCACTGTGCCCACGCTGAAGGAAGCCTGCAGGGTGCACGGGCTGAAGGGTGGGCAGAAGAAGCAGGAGCTGCTGGATGCTCTCACCAGGCACTTCCAGGAGGGCTGACCCGGCACCGCAGCCCCTCCACACTGCAGCCACAGGCCTGGTTGCTTCTCAGAGGTGGAACACGTTTCTCCTGAGCCAGGAAGTCTGCCCGACAGGAGCCCAGGGGCTTTGCTAGCAGCCTGACTGTACGTGTATGTGACTGTTGTCGTGGAGACGGGGTTGCCCTCCACATTGCTGTGCCTTGCTCTGCTGTCTGAATGAAGAGTCCTTACTTTGTGCTGCATGCTGTCCTTTAGTGTCCTTTAGTGCCTTGCATCCAAAGATCACTTGTCACCAATAGAAACGGGTGTGTGTGTGTGTTTATGAGTGTGACAGTTAAAGACAGGTGAACATACTTCAGGATAGTCTCCTCCCAGCCCTCTGCCTTCCCACCTGTTTTCTTTCAAATGTGTCATGTTAAGATCTAAAAATCAAATTTCGGAAGCAGTAGAATGTGGCATGTAGTCCGGTGCCGTGAGTGAACAGCCCCCCATCCTTTGTTCCTCTCACGTGACATTGAAGTATGTGAAGGTGTGTTTGCTGTTGCCTGGAGAATGCAAGTTCCCGTATAGGCAAAATGAAGTTACTCCTCTTGCTTTTCAGGGCAGCTGTAGGAAGTTTAAGATCAGGAGCAACCCTAGTATTGGAGGGCAAAGGGAGGGGAGTGGCTTTTCCTTGTGCTCTTCCTCCCCACCCCTCCCCTATATTCCCCATCCCTTTCCTGCTGATTCTGCTGCTGCTTTTGAAGATGAGCCCAACGGAAGGAAGGAAAACATCAGGAAGGGCTTGTGTCCCGAGGATGACTTGACGTACAGGCTTTGTTGGTGCTGTGGCTTTCAGAAGCCCAGGACGAGAGTGAGCATCTCATTGTATCAATTCAGTGGCATCAAATTGATTCCAACTCTACTGACCCTACAAGGAGCTCTGGTGGTATAGTGCATAAGGCACTTTGACTGCTACCCGGAAGGTCAGCAGTTCAAACCCACCAGCCACTCTGCAGAAGGAAGACAGGGCGATCTACTTCTGTAAAGATTTATAGCCTCGGAAACCCAATGGGGGTCACTGTAAGTTGGAAACTACTTGATGGCAGGGAGTTGTTTTTTTTCTCTACTGACCCTATAGGACAAAGTAGAGCTGCAGTGCCCCATAGAGTTTCCAAGCCTGGAATCTTTCTGGAAGGAGACTGCTACATCTTTCTCCTGCAGAGTGGTGAGTTTGAACCACTGACCTTTTGGGTTTAGCAGGCTGAGCACTTAAACACTGTGCCACCAGGCCTCCTGAGGAGTGTAGGAGGGATCAGATTACTCTTGCAAGAGAATTTCAGTTTTGGATTCTTTGCACTTTTATAAGTTTTTGCTTTTTTAAGGGAAATGGACTCTTTTTTGGCTTTCCTTCCTTGTCTGGGGGAGAAGGAAGATAATTCTCCAGTTGGAAGAGAAGCACTTGAGGATCATCAGATTAATACAACACTTAACACAGTGAACACACATTGTTGAGAAATCAGACCATCCTCCTTAAATGAAACACAGGTGGGCACTGTACCTACAGGGGCTTCAGCTCCTCTCTACCGAGGAGGAGGGGGAATGAGTGTGGTCACCTCGCCTGAGCAGATTCCATCCCGCCTTTTCTGTGCATTCCTCAGTGACCTTACCCAAGTCTAGGCCCCTTGTCCTCTATTCTGTTTAGGAAAGGGAGAGAATGAAAGAATTCCAGGGTCAGGTAACACATACTTGCCACGTCATGTTTCTTTGTGAACTAATGAAGCGTGCTCCAGAGAAGGAAGGAACTGTTCACACACTCTGGCTGGGCTTTTGGAAGCTTAGGGGAGCTCTGGTGGTGCAGTGGTTAAAGTATTCAAGCTGCTAATCAAAAGGCTGGCAGTTCAAACCCACCAGTTGCCCCATGGGAGAACGATACAGCAGTGTGCTTCTGTGATTTACAGCCTCTGTCCTCTAGGGGCGCTTGGTTTGTTTTTTTGGAGACGCTTACAAATCTGATTTGCAGCTTGACTCTACCCCATATGCACAAGTGACCTTGGGCAATTTACCCGGCATTTTTGAGCCTCAGTTTTCTCCTCTTTATAAAAGGAATAAAAGCGGTGAATGATGAAAAGAGAACATAAAATTGAGAGAAAGTGCACAAAACATACAGCTCTATTCCAGGGGCGGGAAGGCTTGGACGTGGGGAGAGCACTGACGAAGAAATGGGCCTTGGCAAATGCTCCGTGGATTGGGGACGCGGGGAGGCGCGTCTGCTCCTTGGGGCAGGTGGTTGAGCACTCATGCAGCTGAGCTTCCGACACGAATCTGTTTAGCCAAGATTATATCGAACTATAACGAATAAACATACGCGCCTATAATGATCCCGAACTTTCAGCGGCGGTTACTTCTTGGGAAAAGGGGCCTTTTATTTTGAAATGTCTTGACTTAAAGACCACTCGTAATTCTTAAAATTGAAGTAAGGCAGAAGTCATCCACTTCGGCCTCCCTGGCTGCACCCGAAGTTCCACCCTCAAATCCAAATTCTGGAAAAACACATAAAATGCATTTTACCCCGAAATGGAGCCCCTGAGTGGTGCAAATGGTTAAGCGCTGGGTGCATCTGGTGCACCTGGGCTGTCAGGCCGGCGATCCGCTTCCTGTCACAGCCTTGAAACCCCACGGAGCAGTTGTACTCTACACACACGGGTTGTCACGAGTCTGAACCAACTCGAGGAGCCACAAGGAGTCAAGTCTTTTCAGTCTGAGTTCTAAATGTCCTGGAATGTGTAACAAATCCCTAACTTTGCATCCTTCCTGAGAGCCAGACCCACACAGGATTCATTCCTGCACTCTCATAGGCAGCCACCAGGATCTCAGATCAGCTGTGGGCAGGCAGCCCTTGCCTTCTTAGGCCTGCAGCTTTAACTTGACCATATTCATTGTTATTTTGGCAAGACATCCCCACTCTTTTATCACCCACCTGACACATACACACCTTAGTTATCTACTGCTGTGTAACAGGCTACCCCAAAAACTACTGGTTTAAATCAATAAACTACTAGCTCTGCCATTTCTGTGGGTGAGGAACTTGGGAGGACAGTGGCTGGGAGGTTCTGGCATCAAGCCAAGCATAAGGATACATTCTAGGAGTAGACAAGGCCCAAGAGGATGCTGGGTCCACCAGCAGGGAGGTGCATGCCGATAGCCGGAAAGCTGGTGTGAGATGTTGGCTGGAGTCCTCTCCACAGGGCTGCTTGAAAGTCTTCATCACTTGACAGCTGACTTCTATGCCCATAGCCAGGCAGCAGTGGCCGATTGTCTCAGGAATCCTTGGACCTCATGTCACTCCCACCATCCTCCATGGGTCACACAGACCAGCTCTGAGGCAGTATATTGGACTACAGCAGGGTATGCATACCAGGAGGTGAGGGGCATTGGAGGCCATTTTGAAGGCTGGCTACCACAGGGCATCATGGGGAATAATGACTTAGTGGTTTTGATCTTCCTCCTATAAGCAATATTCCTGCTAAATTGAGAGGCACATGGATTTTTCAAAATGTAGCTTAGCTCACACTGAAAATGGGGACCAGGCCATACTCAGCTCCTAGAACAAATTCCTCTGCCCCCATCCTACCACCACTACATCAGTCTGGGATTAAACCTAATGGAAACTGTTGTTCAGTACGTCACAATACTGTTAGGTGCCGTTCAGTCGTCTGACTCACAGCAACCCCATGCACAGCAGAATGAAAATGCCTGATCCTGCGCCAGCTCCTTGATCCCTGCTATACTTGAGCCCATTGTCACAGCCACTGTGTCAATCCATCTCATTGAAGGCCTTCCCCTCTTTTGTTGACCGTCTACCTTACCAAGCATGACATCCTTTTCCACGGATCCCTTCTGACAACATGACCAAAGTAGGTGAGACGAAGTCTGGCCACTCTCACTTCCAAGGAGCATTTTGGCTGCACTTCCTCCAGGACAAATCTGTTAGTTATTTTAGCAGTCCATGGTACTTTCAGCATTCTTCACCAGCACCAAACTCAAAAGCATCAACTCTTCTTTGGTCTTCCTTATTCATTGTCCAGCTTTCACATGCATACGAGGGAACTGAAAATATCATGGCTTGTGTCAGGTGCACCTTAGTCCTCAAGGAGACATCCTTGGTTCCTCAGCACTTGAAAGAGTTCTTTGCAGCTGACCTGCCCAGTGCTACATGTTGTCTAATGTCCTGACTGCTGCTTCCATTGGCATCGATTGTAGAACCAAGCAATGTGAATTCCTTGACAACCTCAATCTTTTCTCCATTTATTGTGATGCTGCTATAGGTCCAGTTGTGAGGATTTTTGTTTTCTTTATATTGAGATGTAATCCATATTACAGACTGTATTTTTCAGTCTTCATCAGTAAGTGCCTCAAGTCATCCTCATTTTCAGCAAGCAAAGTTGCATCGTCAACGTATCTCAGGTTGTTAATGATTCTTCCTCCAATCCCGGTGCCACGTTTTTCTTCATATAGTTCCGCTTCTCAGATTATTTGCTAAGCATTATAGATTGAATAAGTATGGGGAAAGAATACAACTCTGACACTCTGCTTCTTGATTTTAAACCATGTAGTGACCCCTTGTTCTGTTCAAGCGACAGCCTCCTGGTCAAGGTACAGGTTCGTCATGAGTACAATCAGGTGTTCAGAATTCCCATTCTTCTCAATGTTATCCATAATTTGTCATGATCCACACAATCAAATGCCTTTGCATAGTCAATAAAACACAAGTAAACATCTTTCTGGTATTCTTTGCCTTCAGCCAAGATCCATCTGACAGAAGCTATGATGTCCCTTGTTCCACATCCTCTTCTGACTCTAGCTTGCACTTCTGGAAGTTCTCTGTTAATATACTGCTGCAACCGTTTTTTGAATTATCTTCAGTAAAATCTTACTTGTGTGCAATATCAATGATATTGTTCTATAATTTTCACATTCTGTGGGATCACCTTTCTTTGGAATGGGTACAAATATGGATCTCTTACAGTCAGCTGGCCA